ACCATTGCCTCCCAGCAGATGCCCAAGAAGATTGTGAACGCCAAGATCGCCTGCCTGGACTTCTCGCTACAGAAGACCAAGATGAAGATGGGCGTCCAGGTGCTGATCAACGACCCCGACAAGCTGGAGGCCATCCGTGCCCGCGAGCTGGACATCACCAAGGAGCGCATCAACATGATCCTGGGCACCGGTGTCAATGTGGTTCTCGTCCGCGGCGGAGTCGATGATCTGTGCATGAAGTACTTCGTTGAGGCTGGAGCCATGGCTGTGCGACGTGTGAAGAAGAGTGATCTGAAGATCATTGCCAAGGCCACTGGCGCCGCCTTCCTTACCTCGCTGACCAACATGGACGGCGAGGAGAGCTTCGATGCCTCCATGGTGGGCGAGGCTGCCGAGGTGGCCCAGGAGCGCATCTGCGACGATGAGCTTATTCTCATCAAGGGCACAAAGGCGCGTGCTGCTGCTTCCATTATCCTGCGTGGTCCCAACGACTTCTACTGTGATGAGATGGAGCGCTCCGTCCACGACGCCCTGTGCGTGGTTAACCGTGTGCTGGAGAGCAAGAAGGTGGTGGCCGGCGGCGGCTGCGTGGAAGCCGCCCTGTCCATCTACTTGGAGAACTTCGCTACCTCGCTGGCCTCCCGCGAACAGTTGGCCATCGCCTAGTTCGCCAAGTCGCTTTTGGTCATTCCCAAGACTTTGTCCGTAAACGCGGCCAAGGATGCCACGGATCTGGTGGCCAAGCTGCGCTCCTACCACAACTCCAGCCAGACGAAACCCGAGCGCTCGGACCTCAAGTGGACTGGCCTGGATCTGATCGAGGGTGTGGTCAGGGACAACAAGAAGGCTGGTGTGCTAGAGCCGGCCATGTCCAAGATCAAGTCGCTGAAGTTTGCCACGGAGGCTGCCATTACCATTTTGCGCATTGACGACATGATCAAGCTCAATCCGGAGGACAAGAGCGGCAAGAGCTACGCCGATGCCTGCGCCGCCGGCGAACTGGACGGTTAGACATTCTCCTCTGCGAGCGAAGCACATTTCTTCTACTTTGTTTAGGCATTTAATTTTAATCAAATCACTCACTTTCAATTGTCGCCCCATTTGATTGTAACAACAATTTAATTGTGTTGCCCCTCGCGATCTGTATTAACACCGCACATCCTTAATCCTTTCTCATTCACGCTTCAATGTATAATAAATTGAACTTCAGAATATGCTGAGGCGCAAACAAAAAAAAAAAAATTTTGTAACTAACATACAAATTGTGGGCGTCACAGGCTTGGGCGGTTTGTGGGCGTGGCAAACTTTTTTTTGGTCAATCGATAGGTATTGATGAGAACAATACATTTCACCAATATGTTTGCTCTAGCATCAAAACTGTAGGAGCCACCGTTTTGGGCGGTTTGTGGGCGTTAGAGTGGGCGTGGCACATTGCTGAAACAAACTTGCGCTGCGTAAGAAGCTCAGGAATCTGCACGCCAAATCTCAATAGCCTAGCTCCCATAGTTTCCGAGATCTCAGCGTTCATCCGGACGGACAGACAGACGGACAGACGGACAGACGGACATGGCTAGATCGACTCGGCTAGTGATCCTGATCAAGAATATATATACTTTATGGGGTCGGAAACGCTTCCTTCTGCCTGTTACATTCTTTCCGACGAATCTAGTATACCCTTTTACTCTACGAGTAACGGGTATACACATTCGTTGAACATTTCATTTATTTTAATTTTAGTTTCTTTGTGCACCAGCAAACTCTTCTTTTTAAATTGCTCCAATTGATTGGTTTTCCGTTCGGCAACAAATTCACCAGCTTGACAGTAAAACCATGCAACATGCATTGCGGGTGAACATTGAAATCTTCGGAATAAGATTTTTCGACTAGTGAAACTCTTAGTCGATCTGAGTACTAGGCTTAAGTATCGATTATTTTTTAATCTACCATGTCATATAGGAAGAGGGGTGGGGTATAGAGGTAAGAGGAAGCTTCTAAAGCAGTGGGACCCACACACATGCAATGAAATGTAAGACTTGTAACTTTTAAAATAATATTGCGATTGGTATAATTATACTAGTTTTGCCCGATACTCGTAGAGTAATAGGGTATACTAGATTCGTCGTATGTAACAGGTAGAGAAAGCGTTTCCAGCCCTATAAAGAATATATATTCTTTATCCCGAGCACTAACGGAGTCGATCTAGCCAAGTCCGTCTGTCTGGCAGTCCCTATGAACGGCAGTTTATTTCAGCAGAATGCCACGCCCACTCTATCGCCCATTCGCTAAATCCTGTCTAGCTCCCATATTTTTGAAGTGTTTGTAAAAGTGAAAATTTAATTTATTTGAATGTCCATATCCATCTTCATCCCAAACATTTTTGAAATCGGACCATCGATTAAAAGTTCTAAGCCAATAAAGAAATCGACGATAGTTGGCGCCTTTGCGGGGTGTGCAATTGTGAACAGTCGCTTTGCTGCATACCTCTATCACCCTCGGACTCCCCTTTGCTTAGTAACGGGTATTTAATAGTCGGGGGCATCGACTATAGCTTTTTCTTTTTTTTACAATCAAAATGCAAAAAAGTTGCACCAACAGATCACGAATTTTTAAGACCATTTTATTGGTATGTCGGCTTTTTTATTTTTACCTTGAGATTAGCTTTACCAATTTAGGTGATATATGTTTTAATTTAGAACTATAATGTCACCCCTAATATTGCTAAATAAATTAAGAGGATCATTGAGTAAAATGTGTAATACAACTCGGCAACCTTTGAAAATGTTTTAATTTAGAACTATAATGTCACCCCTAATATTGCTAAATAAATTAAGAGGATCATTGAGTAAAATGTGTACTACAACTCGGAAACCTTTGAAAACGTGAATTTTTAAAGCAATTTAAAGACTGAAAGGCGTCTGTTGATATCGAAAAATCTCGATAAAAATCCAACGAACTATTTCAAAGATTCCGTCCGACAGAACCAAATAAGCCACATATGGCCACATTTGATTTTTGAAGTTTCCAATGTTAGGCCGGTAACGGCTTTGAGCGTAAAATTTTAATTTTAGTATGAGTAGTATTAGTATTTCAACGTAAGGGGGTTCGCCATATGCCTTTAGACAGTATTGTGAAACTTTTTTTTTACGTTTTTGGAAATATTTTATTAAAAAATATAAGCAAATAAACATATAATAATTAAAATAATAGTAACAACTAGGAACACATATGCCGAAAATGGTGTAAATATTTGTATTCAAAATTCTTTATGGAGTCTGAAACGCTGCATTCTACCTGTTACATACTTTCCGTCGAATTCACTATAGTAAATAAAGTAAAATGGTAACTTGGGAGTAGCAGTTATAAGTAGCAACGTAAGTCTTATCATTCCCATGGCAGCATTACAATAGGAGGTTGGTCCGATAAGTAATTAGCGTCCAAAAGAAAAATGAAAATTTTGGAAAAGTGGCGATTTATTTCTCAACATAATCTCCTTTTAGCTCGATAACCCTTGACCCAGCGATGCTCAAACTTCTTTAACCCGTCTGAAAAATACGATTTCTCGAGGTCTGCAAAATAGGCCTCTGTGGCGACGACGACGTCCTTATTCGACGCAATTTCCTGTCCAGGGAGTGACTTTTTCAAGTTTAGAAACAAAAAAAGTCACACGGGGCCAAATCTGGAGAATATGGTGGATAGGGTAGCAGTCCGTAGCCCAATTCGACCAATTTGGCCTTGGCGAGGGCGGAAGTGTGAGCCGGTGCGTTGTCATGATGGAAGAGCACATTTTTCTTCGCCAAATGGGGCCGTATTTTCTGCAATTCGGCGGTGAATCGGCCCAATAATTCGGCATAGTTCAGCCCTGTGACCTTTTTGCCCTTCTACAGATCACACCTTGTGAATCCCAAAACAGTCTTCGCCTTCTTCAGAGCAGGTTCGCCGGGTGAAGTCCACTGTTTCGACTGTTCCTTGGGCTCTGGTCTGTACCAGTGAATCAATGTTTCGTCGACGGTCACGAAACGACGCAGAAACTCCTTCGGATTGCGCTTAAACAGCGTCAAACACTGCTCCGAAGTGGTCTCTCGGTTGCATTTGTTGTCCGGAGTGAGCAAGCATCGCGCCATCGCGCCGACAGCTTTCTCATGCCCAAAATTTCATGCAGGGTATGACCCACGCGGTCTTTTTACATGCCTGCTGTCTCAGCTATCTCGCGTATCTTTAATCGACGGTCTGCCAATACGAGGTAGTGGATTTTTGTCACGTTATCCTCCGTGGTAGCCGTTTTCGGGGCACCTGGGCGTGGCTCATTAAAAACCGACGTGCGAACACGATGAAACTCGTTAAACCAATTTTTGACGGTCGCCATCGAAGGAGAAGAGTCACCGTACACAGCATCCAAGCACTCTTTGATTTCGCTGCGCGATTTCCCTTCCAAAAACAGGAATCGAATCACAGACGGATATTGCTCCTTCTCCATTTTTCTAAAATCCGCGGACACGTCCGATTCCACACGCAGTCAAAACAAAACTACGAGTCCGATTCGGCTGAAATTTCAACAGTAGCCGTCTACGAGAATGTACTACAAGATTGTAAATTTCTCTTGCGATAGGGAAGCCATCGGGCGGTGAGGCTAAGTACTTATCGGACTGCCCTCGTATAGTTGTCTGATCTGTAAGTTTTATATATGTAACCTGCTTAGGATAAAACTAAATAATTGGTAAAGTTTTAAGATTAAGATATTCATTTGGGTCAGAAAAAGTGCTGAGTAGCTCTCGATTTAGCGTTCTTGCTTATATTAAATTATGTTATATTATTTTCATTTCAAATGCAATGTGTCGGAAGTTAAACATTTCAAAAAACAAATTTGTATTTTAATTCCGAATTTGTCATAAAATAAAACTCTATGTTAAGGCAAAGTGAAAATTTGTTGTACTATATTTCAACTATAAAGAGTCCGTAATACGAATACATTTTTATTTAATTAAAACATCTAACATGTTCACGAGCCCAGAACTTTGAATTGGTACCTTACGAAAAAATCACGATTTTGAATATATGTGTGTTCGAACTTACACATATTAAAACATAAACCACCCTATTGCAACATCAGAAAGCATAGTCTTAAAATGACAGAATAAAAAGTAGCCAGTTTATTATTGTTTTTTGAGATTGTTTTGTGGCATTCGCTTTCAGGAATAATAAATATTCAGATCATTCATTTTGCTTAATCATATTTCTATGACATTTGATATGTTCTAAATATTATTATGGTTGACTTATATATTCACACAAAAGAATGTATCTATTAAAAACGCGAACATCAAATGGTTCTTGTTCCCCGAATACTATTAGAATCAAGCTTTTCGTTCTGAACTGACGGTTGATAAGTAAAAGTTACTCAATAATTAATTAGCAGACGCGTGAATTACATCAAGCTTATTATTATTTAATTTTCAATTCATTTATTTTGTAAGACAAAAGAATTATTTATAAGTAAAGGGAAATTAAACTGTTCAGTTAGACGGTTTCAAATGTATATGTGTCAATATGCGTTTAATATTTAATTGAACTCTTTACTATGAAATCTTGCTATACTGTGCTTTCAAGATTTATTACCTTACTAGAGAAATTTTGATATTAGGTAAGTAAAAAAGTTTTCAAGTAAAATGATTAAAACTATGACGTACATTGCGACTTTGACTCCAACACAATATCTAATTTTTTTGGGTTCAATAACGCGATTGTGTTCTTAGCTAAATTTCCAATCAAATACCCTTTTCTAAAGGCTTTCTCGAAGTCCCACCATTCATACAGACGGACATTCGTATTTGTCTTGATTACGAATATTTATACTTTTTAGGGTTTTATATTTATATTCTTTATAGACTTATATCTGACAGTTACTTACTTTCCGACGGCTACAAAATAAGGGTTAATATAACATAATATAAGAGAGAGTCACTCGCTATACCCGTTACTCAGCTACCCAACTTAAAAATAACAAGGAAGAACGCTATAGTCGAGTACTTCGACTATCAGACACCCGTTACTCAGCTAAAAGGACCAAAGGGAAATGGAGATATGCAACCAGCACATCGAGGTTACGTGGCGAAAGACAGAATTAGACGTTATGGGCGTTGGAGTGGGCGTAGCAAACTTTTTTGGGTCAACCGAAAGGTATTCACGAGACTAAAACATTTCAGTTAAAGTTTTTCATCTAACATGAAAATTTTAGGCGCCAAAGGCTTGGGCGGCTTGTGGGCGTTAGAGTGGGCGTGGCATATTCGCGTAACAAACTTGCACTGCGTACAAGGCCACGAAATCTAAATCTGAAATCCGAATTCTCTATTTTTGATAGTTTCCGAGATATCCGAGTTCATACTTACGATATTTTGAAGTTTGTGGGCGTTAAAGTGGGCGTGATCAACTTTTTTTTAGTTAATCGATAGTTATTAATGAGAACAATACATTTCCTTAAAAATTTTTATTCTAGCTTCAAAACTTTAGGAGACAGAGTTTTGGGCGGCTTGTGGGCATTAGAGTGGGCTGCGCAAGAAGCTTAGGAATCTACATACCAAATCCCAATTAGCTTCTGTAGTTTCCGAGCTCTCAGCGTTCATCCGGACGGACGGACAGACGGACATGGCTAGATCAACTCGGCTAGTGATCCTGATCAAGAACATATATACTTTATCGGTCGGAAAGGCTTCCTTCTGCCTGTTATAAGTATACCCGTTACTCGTAGAGTAAAAGGGTATACTAGATTCGTCGGAAAGTATGTAACAGGCAGAAGGAAGCGTTTCTGACCCCATAAAGTATATATATTCTTGATCAGGATCACTAGCCGAGTCGATCTAGCCATGTACGTCTGTCTGTTCGAATGAACGCAAGTTTGTTTCAGCAGAGTGCCACGCCCACTCTAACGCCCACAAACCGCCCAAAACTGTAACTCCTACAGTTTTGATGCTAGATAGAAAATTTTAACTGAAATGTATTGTTCTCAACAATACCTATCGATTGACCTAAAAAAAAGTTTGCCACGCCCACTAAAACGCCCACAAACCGCTAAAACCTGTGACGCCCACAATTTGCATGCTAGATAAGAAATTTTAACTGAAATGTATTGGTGTCGTCAATACCTATCGATTGATCCAAAAATAAATTTTCCACGCCCACTCTAACGCCCATAACGCTTAAATCTGTCTACCGCCGGTAGGTGGCGCATTTTAATCTCGCTTTGCTGCTTGCATATCTCCATTTCCCTTTGAGTAACGGGTATCTGATAGTCGAGGTACTCGACTATAGCGTTCTTCCTTGTTTTTTAAATGAAATTCCCATTTTGAATAGAGTTTACTAAAAATGTTGAAATTTGTTGAGTGAGTGTGTTAGACCATCTTTTAGAGTGATTTATTCCTAGTTTAAAAAATCCACCCTCAATCTGCGCTTTTTGCGACTTTTTGCAAAAATTACATTTTTATGTAGCAACCTCTCGATGCAATGCGGCCCTGTTAGAAGTGTGGCGCAAGCAAACTTACGGCCGTGACAATCAGAGTGCCGTATTCGCTTTAATTTGTGAGCACATCCTCGACAATACTCCTTAGATGAATGAAACTCGTTTAAAGGAGAAAGCGCGAGTGTTATCCGTAAAATTTTCCATTTTGCCAAAATTACAATAGAAAAATTGACATCTTCACTATGGATGGACAAGTTCGCTTGGATTTAATTGGAAACGAAAGAAAAGTAGAGCCGAAAAGGTAATAAAATGGACGTCGAAAATTACATATTCTTTAAAAGGCACAGTACGCCAGAAAAAGGATGCAGCAGCCATTTCTCTCGGTTTAGAAACATAATTCGAGGTTACTGGTACAAGCGGCAAGGAGAGCTGCTCGAAAGACTTCACCATGCAAGAAAGCACAGCAGAATTTGTGGTTTCACAGATGTGTTTCAAAAAACAATGGACTTCCGATCCCATAATTTCATCGGTAAATTTAAACAGCCGCGTTCAGAAACATAAGCGACTTCCCCTACCACATGAAGTCATAGCATTGCTATCATGTGACTTGAAACCTACAAAGGGATTTTTAGACGGTGCTGACCATAAGAAAGAAGACGATCATGACCATCTTTATAACATTGAAATCAAAAATAAATTACATATTAAATAAAAAAAATGCAAGAAGGCACAGCAGAATTTGTGGTTTCACAGATGTGTTTCAAAAAACAATGGACTTCCGATCCCATAATTTCATCGGTAAATTTAAACAGCCGCGTTCAGAAACATAAGCGACTTCCCCTACCACATGAAGTCATAGCATTGCTATCATGTGACTTGAAACCTACAAAGGGATTTTTAGACGGTGCTGACCATAAGAAAGAAGACGATCATGACCATCTTTATAACATTGAAATCAAAAATAAATTACATATTAAATAAAAAAAAAAAATTTTGGGGGGGGGGGGAGAGGGTTGTCGTTTGGGCGACACCCCCACTACTGCAAATTAAATCTAAGGCTGTACCGACCACTAGAAAAAAAATTGGTCAAAATACCTTGCATAGTTCAGGAGTTATTATTTTATGCCAAAAAAAACAGGTCAAGGTCCCCATAGTGCGCTGGTAGGTGGCGCATTTTAATCTCGCTTTGCTGCTTGCATATCTCCATTTAGCTGAGTAACGGGTATCTGATAGTCGAAGTACTCGACTGTAGCGTTCTTCATTGTTATACCCTTGCAGAGGGTATAATGATTTCAGTCAGAAGTTTGCAACGCAGTGAAGGAGACGTATATATATTCTTGATCAGCATCACTAGACGAGTCGATCTAGCCATGTCCGTCTGTCCGTCCGTTTCTACGCAAACTAGTCTCTCAGTTTTAAAGCTATCAGGCTGAAACTTTCCCAAAAGTCTTATATCTTTTGCAGGTAGTATATAAGTCGGATCAATCTGGATCGGATAACTATATCTTCTAGCTCCCATAGGAATAATCGGAAAAAAAAATGGTAAAAAATTATATCTTTGGTGTTTTTTAACATATTACCTCCTTTCCTTGGAAATAACATTTTTTAATTAGTTTTGAATTTCGAATTAAATTTTATCAAAATCGGAAGACTATATCATATAGCTGCCATAGGAACGATCGTAAAATTGGTGGGAAAATAATATGAAACAAATTATAGCTTCGGTGTTCCTTAACATATAACCTCCTACGCTTGGAAATAACATTTTTTAATTAGTACTGAATTTCGAATTTAATTTTATCAAAATCGGACGACTATATCATATAGCTGCCATAGGAACGATCGTAATATTGGTGGGAAAATAATATGAAACAAATTAAAGCTTCGGTGTTTCCTAACATATAACCTTCTACGCTTGGAAATAACATTTTTTAATTATTAGTCCCAATACCTATCGATTGACCCAAAAAAAGCTTGCCACGCCCACTTTAACGCCCACAAACTTCAAAAATTCGTAAATATGAACGCGGAGGCGTTGGTGCGAAGATGATGAGAAAAAGATTGGCCGCAGGAAGAATAATTGCGTCCGAATAATCGAGGGTCAGTGGGTGTTCGGTGGCATCGACCGTGAGACGGGCGACTTCTTCATCGTTCCGGTAGAGGACAGGTCAAAGGACACCCTGCTACATCTATCCAAGACAAGAACGCTGCCGGGACCACCATCGTCTCCGATTGCTGGAGAGCGTATGACTGTTTGGACGACTCAGGTTATCAACATCTGAAAGTCAACCACTCCATCAATTTTGTTGACTCAGTCACGAAGGCAAACACCCAAAAAATTGAGCGTCTGTGGTGGGACCTTAAAGAAAACATTCCGCACTATGGCCGAAAGAAAGTACACTATCATGAATATTTGGCGCGCTTCGCCTTCGCCTTTGCCTCCCTTTCTTCCTTACAGCCATGGCGGATATGTTCAGGCCAAAGAGCAAGTCAAGTTAAATATGGAATCAAAACATCGTATAAGTACAAATTAAAAAATAAATGCAAACATTAAATTTTACAACTGTTTTGATTTCATATTTAACCTATGTACATCATACAATTTCTCATACAGAATACTTCCGATGTCGACTAAGTTGTTCATTAGGACACTTTTTGTCGTATATTTGGATCTGCTACGTGGAGTAGGCCTATGAGGTACACCACTATAAAAAAAACGAGCCTGGAACATTACCTTAATGGTGGCTCGGAAAAGTGTTCATTGAAATTATTTGTATTAATATAAATATACAAATTGTTGGAGTGTTATTTAATGCATTAAAATGGTGCGGGACCGTGGATGGCCGTGATCGTTCATGGCCGTCACTGAAAACACGGTACAGCATTGTGACATCAAGCACGTGTCCTTTATAGACCGCACTCCACGTACAACATGATTATTTGGAAATGATTTTTCAGTAGACCAAAAAATAACATTTTTTATTAAATGAAAAAAAATGTTAAATGATTTTTATGACTCATTTAAAAATTTAATTAGTTTTATAACCTTTTATTAAAAAATAATTACTTTGATTTAAAATATGAGAAAAGTGCCCTTGTTTTTTATAGCAAAACCGGGAACTTTGAAATTCAATTAAATTCTTAAGAAATCGCGGTCCATCGAGGATCATTTTTTCGCAAATTTCGAGGGTGAGTGCCCTAATCTATAGTATTATGTGTTGTGAACGTCCCTGTAAAGAAACTCGTATTGTCTGCTTAATAGAGAAAAAAGGGAATGATAAAGTCTCATTTTCTAAAAGGGACTTAAAGTGAGTCCAGAAGAGTCCATCAACAATATGTACTGTATTGTAGAGTATTCAATTATTGTTAAACTGGCTAACGAAGACTTTTTTTGCAGGTGGTGCGAATCCACGGGAAAAGTTGCAAAGGAGAATGCTGTGTTTCATTTTATGAAAGCTTCTTTATCAGAAGTTGAGTTTGAACAGCACAGCGATATTGTAGACCAAGCAAGTAAAAAATTTTGCTACCACTTGACGGACATCTCAATATATAGTTATGTGGGCGGCAGACAGATTTAAGCGTTATGGGCGTAAGAGTGGGCGTGGCACATTCGCGTAGCAAACTTGCGCTGCGTACAAGGCTACGAAATCTAAACCTGAAATGCCAATTCTCTATCTTTGATTGTTTCCGAGATATCCGGTTTCTGACGGGCACCAACTCAATACAAGCTTGTCCAATTCGTGTAGCCACGCCATCTGATTTTCTTATTAACCGAAACTTCATGTGTGCCAAGACTTAAACCGTTGTCAGCCATTTAAAATACAGACTAAGCCCCTTTCACATCTGGATACGAGTCTTTGAGTTCATTTTGCGCGCAGGGTATAAAAATGAAGTGAGAGAAGTGAACATTTTTTCAGGAATATGATAAAAAAGACTATATAGGGAACACTTCGTTTTTTCGTTAAAAGTCGGAAGATTTAGCAGTACTAAAGATGGTAATACTGTTCGGCGAGCATTTTACAATCCTCATGCCTTTTCCAACATCACAGGCATCGATAAGCAGCTCATTACAACTTTAAGAACGATTTTGATGTGCCCTTCATGACAGCTTCCAATTCCTTAATCTCAATCCTTTTGTTACCGATCTGCCGAGATGGCCATTGATAAACAGCCGTGGTTTCTAATAACTGCAAGCGTTCAAAAATTGTTAATTCCTATTGAGAGCTAAATTTTAGAAATCTGATCGTCTTAATCGCGCCAAAAAAAGTGGTAGGTCTTAAAACCTAACAGACGTGTTAGCTGCAGATACTTTCGATCCGGTAATTTCTTCTGTGAATTGGGATAGAAAAGAATGTATCTTCCATTAGAGCAGTGGTCGGCACACACATATCATCACAAGTTTGCCTTGCATTAGTGTGAGTGTAACAAACACGAAGTTTGCCCGCGGCATGCTGTAGCGAGACGTTTCTCTGCTTTGCACTGAGATCCTCTGCCGCAGCAACAAAAAAGCGCGCCGAAGTTGAGAAAAAATGACCCAAAGACCCATGCCGAAGTCACACGAACATGGAGGTTATACGTGAGCGAGCAGAGGATGGGCAGAACACTTCCCTTTGCTCACTAGATAGGCCGCTGGCGACCACTGCATTAGAGGAATCAGGAAGACACCGCTGCGCTTGAGGATGAAAGCCCTTTTGATGTATTAGATTTAGAACATCAAGACAATGTTGAGTTGGAAAACGAAGAACAGAAATTTTTCTAAGAGGTGTGTAAGAAAATATATTTTTACTATAGACTACTAATTGTATTTTTTTACAGGGCTAGAAGATGAATGCGCTGTATATTACTTTCTTCCTTAAATTCTTTTTAAGGCGTGTCACGCCCACTATCTTTCAATAAATATAACATATATTACTGTGTCAAATACTATTGTTACTTGGTGATATAGTACTCCATAAAGCTGAAGAACTTTACGTTGTTCCAAGAAAAACGGCCGGTGCCACGCCTTATATTTTTTATATTTCTAATACATTTTAGCCAATTTAACATGATGCAAAAAACAGAAACCAAATATCTAGCTCCGTTCTTGAGTTATTCATTTTGTGCACTGCCAGCATAGGGTGAGATTCACCAGTTCACAGCCGTGAAAAAGCGCCTGGGCGTGATCTTGCGATTTCCACATCTGGGTTTTGCTTTTCCTCTGCCCATTGTTTCCATTCTCGCTTTCCCAAGTCCGCAAGCGATCGCAGTAAGTCAGCTGATAAGGGTTGAGAAGTTCCGTGCAAAGCAAATGAACGAGGTCAGTGCTGGCATTGCGCCAGCCAGTGTTGCCACCGCGGGGGAGCTTCTGTAAGCACTGTTTCTAAACCCCGCCTGCCAAGAAGAATCAATACAAAATACAACAGTAGGGCATTAGATGTAAAGACAAAGGACCGTATTGTCACCCAACCAAACCGCGAAGCGTCCTCTCACAAAAAAACGAGCCGGATAGGGGTGGTAAAACCCCAATCGAGCTTTAGAAGAATATTTGTCGGCAACCGGAGAAGCTGATGCAAAGACCGAAAGCAGAGTTAAACTTCTGGTTAACGCAGATCTTGAGCGGATTGATGCTTCAGAAGTATCCTGTCAGGTTTGGTCACAAGGACGCCGTAGCTACCCACAATTTGACTTCACACTGCACTCGTTCGTTGTGACCATTTTGTCAAAAATTCGTCGCATATCGTTCCGTAACCCACTTGTTCACCTGATTTTGCGGGGAACGCGTTGCGAATCGATTAAAGAGATAAAAGCTAAATCGATAAAGCCACTGATGCCTATACCGGAACAGGACTATTTGGCAAGTTTCGAGGATAGGAAAAAACGTGGTTTTTTATCGGGAGGGGAGAACTTTGAAGGTAATAAAATTGATTTTAAAGAACAAATAAGGATTTTTATTTTGCAAACAAAATATGGCAACCCCATATAGTTAAAAGGGTTAGAGTTACTGCCCAAAATTATACAAGTAGGAGAGGATCATCTAAAGGATGCGATTCTCAATCAAAATGCATATAATCATTTTAACTCTTAAATAGGTCTTGTTGTGGTACTGTTCCTGAATCAGTCCCAAAAGCCAAACGATTAACGAAGCTGCAATTCTTTCGAACCAATACACCCGCAGAAATAACTGAAATGCAATAAGTAATTCAAAATTTTTTAACAACTGATAAAGATTTTGCGAGGATTGATGAAGATTAAAAGCTATGAACAGACGTGGCCATGGTGTAGTATTCTCCCAGATATTATTATTCGTTGCATCACGGTGGATGAGTTCGTTGTCTCCAGCTCTGGTAACTTCGTCAGCTCCTCCCTTCAGTGAGTTTGTATTAACCATTGTTTTTTAGCAATTTAAGTTTTACATTAACCTTATCGGAATTAGATAAATTAAATAGGTATTTAGTTTATAAAAAAGAGAGAACGAGAATCAAAAGACGCAAATAGTTTAAATTATGAATTGTTTACTAGAATAAGTTAGTCGTGCACTCTTTTCTCTCTTAGCACTGTCAGCGCTTTTCCCTCTCAAATTTCTGTGCCTCCTTTTGGTTCTGACAGCGCCAGGAAAGAGAGAGCAATACATAAAAAAGACTTAAAAGACTTATATTAATGTAATGTTGCCAAACATAAACAATCTTAAAGCGTATTTAAAAAAATTTTGCTTCGTTTGAAAGAGTTATAACTGCCGAGCAATTCGGCTTGCAAGTACTTACACACACACATGCACAAATATATGCGTTATTGCCCTGCAAGCAAAAGGGCGATATTTCTATCGCCTGTCGTCCAGGAGTCACTTCTTAGTAACTTCTGCGCGATAGAAAGACGATAGTACACATTTTACAAAAACAAAATATACACGTGTCGCGTAGAAGTCACTTCTAAGTCACTTCTGAACGATAGACAGATAGTACACATTTTACAAAAACAAAAAGGGTCGGGATCGCGAAGAAGTAACTTCTGAGACACTTCTGCGCGATAAAACGGCGATAGAACACATTTTACAAAGACAAAATATACATATAACGCGTAGAAGTCACTTCTAAGTCACTTCTGAACGATAGAAAGGCGATAGTACACATTTTACAAAAACAAAAAGGGTCGGGATCGCGAAGAAGTAACTTCTGAGACACTTCTGCGCGATAAAACGGCGATAGAACACATTTTACAAAAACAAAATTATTGGAAAAAAACAAGCCATAAAAAAGGTCGCGGTAATTTTCTGTTACCCCTTTTTTCTGAAAATTTTTTGATCTTCCTTTTGACCCACGCTATTATTTTTCGACCGAGCGTCATTTCGTTGCGCGATTTGTCTGTGTACAGTGCGGTTTTGATCAATTTTGTGCGTTTTAAAAATATTGCTTTGTTTTTTTCTAAATGTTATTAATTGCTTAATATATTTAAATATCCCCCTCAACAAAGGGTGCGAAATTAAGTGCTTATCGTGAGCTGTACGATTATTTAAAGCTATTTACGGACAAGCTAGCTGTGGACATTACTTGGCGTGTAACTGCGGATCCAACGATTCTCAACGATTCTCTTGTAAAAGGTAATGTCTTCTAGTTTATTTTTACTTTGACTAAACAAAAAATAATTTTTGTTTCTGTTTCCTTTAGAAACGGTTATTAATAAATTTCTTATGTCGACGGAGCTGGACCTAAATAACATTGTTCAGCCAAATTTCCTTCATGCCAGGGACCCTGTATACAAGCGGACAAAGCCCTCATACAAATAATAAATGCAAAATATTGAAAGAATAAGAAAATATGTTTTTATTCAAGTTTTTCCTATTGGGAAAGACTCTTCTAGATGTCTTCTACAAGCAAATGTAAAGTCACCTCGGAGTAACTTCCAGAAGTGACTACGGCGACACTTTTAGAAGTTACGTCGGCGATATCGCAATCGGATCGCGGAAGTGACTCCCGTCGGGAAGAAATGTGCCACTTCGGCGGCACTTCTATGAGTGACTTCGGCGACACTTCCAGAAGTTATTTCGGCGATATCGCATTCGGATTGCGGAAGTGACTCCCGTCGGGAAGAAATGTGCCACTTCGGCGGCACTTCTCGGAGTCACTTCGGCGACACTTCCAGAAGTGACTTCGGCGACACTTCCAGAAGTAACGCAGAAGTGACTTCGAGAAGTGTCGCCGAAGTGGCACATTTCTTCCCGACGGGAGTCACTTCCGCGATCCGAATGCGACATCGCGGACGATCGTTTTCATCTTCTCGAAGTCACTTAATAGTGCCTTCCGCGATAGAAAATGCTTGCAGGGTGCCTGGCTCCGACGGCATTGCTTTTCCTAACTTTTTAATAGGGCGGTGTTTGAGTGGGCGTAGATATGATTTTTTTGGGTCAATACATGTCTATTAAAACTGTTATTATTTTTTTTGCTTGCTAGCATTTATTGTTTCCGAAATCACGGCGGTCATACGGACAGACAAACATGGCTAGATTGTCTCGGCTAGTAAGAGTATATAACCTTTATAGGGCCCGAAACGCTTCCTTCTAACTGTTACATAATTTCCGACGAATCTAGTATACTCTATCACTCGACGAGTAACGGGTAAAATAAAACAGCAAGCGTTTTCAAACGGTACAACTGTTCTATTACACAGGAACACAAAAATGAACTTTTTGAAACTTCGAGAAACCATTTATACTTTTCTATGATAATTGTGTCCTTCTAAGTAAAGGTCTCATACAATCTTTTGTGCCGTCACTTACAGGTTCCACGATATAGCTAACAATACAAAAACCGATGTTTGTTGACGGCATTGCTAAAAAATAGTCCCTATCTTGAACCATTTTCCATGAATTCCCTTAGAACTGGACGACTTTGAAAAAATGTGAAAAATCCGCAGACGTACCGAAATTGATTTGGAGATGTTTCGTACTGGTTTTTATTATGGAAAATTTCGGATTTTTAATTTTGACGTCAAATTCCGAAGACCGTGGCCATGGTTCAATATCGGGATTATTATACTCGTTACTCGTAGAGTAAAAGGGTATGCTAGATTCGTCAGAAAGTATGTAACAGACAGTAAGAAGCGTTTCCGACCCATAAAGTATACGAGGTGTGTTCAAAAAGTAAGGTGACTTTTCAAATTTCGCGGGCAACATATTTTCGATTTTCGATTATCGATTTTTTGTTTTGTTATGTTGGTACACTCTTCCCTAACATCTGTACCAAGTTTCAATTGAATCCCCTTTTTTGTTTAGTTGTGAGAGGCGTAAAGGTAACAAGTTGTTTTGCGTGCTCAGCGATTTTTTGCTATCAAAAAATATGGATCAAAGGATTTGCATCAAATTTTGTGTAATAAATAAAATTAAGTGCTCCGAAACACTTGAAATGTTGACAGTGGCATACGGTGAAACTGTTCTGAGTAAAAAAATTGTTTACAAGTGGTACAAACTCTT